GACACTACCAGAGATAATGCAATTGACTGGGGAGGCTGATGGTGAAGCCTGGATTAGTGCTACATACGATAAGGGATGATAAAAGGAAATTCTACAGATACGGGTGCTCCCACTCGTCTGACCACATAAAAACTAGCAAACTTTCCAGGAAGCTGAGACACCACTTTTTTCAGTGCATCATTAACTTTGGAATTTGTGGTCACGTGTAGCACAAAGGCTAAAACATCAACAGAAACCAGAGACATGCAAGGAGAATGGGAACGTGAGCTTCTGCTTCTGAGGCCAGACAACATTTTAGCCTTTTCCAGGAAACCCTCAGCACCAGCTCAGCTACTACTCTGATCAGGTCACGCCGAGTCCTACACTCATGAGCCAAAAGCATCACAGACCCACACAACTCAACACAGAGCCAACTGCTTTGAGAGCAGCACGTTCCAAACCTGATTCCCCTCTTTGAAGCTAAGTCCAAAGTCAATGAGCTTAAAGCACTCCTCCTCTGCACTCCACAGGATGTTGCGTGGCTTGAGGTCTGCGTGCACGTAGCCTTTGTGGTGCAGGAATGCCAGGGCTTCAAGAACGTCTCGGGCGCAGTGCTGGATCATCCACATGGAGCAGCCCTGGTTGCTGGAGTGCAGCAGCAGCTCGGACACGCTGATGTCCAGCAGCTCCAGCAGGAGACAGCGAGACGGGCCATTCGCAGAGTAGTGGTTGGTGAACACGCCATACAGCGTCACTACGGTGAGACGCATTGACAGGCATTGGTAACGAGCAATTACACCATCATCACACTCCACCGCTCTCCACTACTGCCCAGAAGACCACAAAAGCTGCAGGAGGCAGCTCCTGTTTTACAAAGGCTGATGTTCAGAGAGACGGAGAACCAAACTTCAGAGGGAAGGAGCAGGGGAAAACCAGCCATGTCACACCTCTGGGCTTCAGCGGACAGGCTGGTCTCACAACGCCCCGCCAGGCTCTGCTAAAGCAACGGGGCCGGGCGCTCCTGCTCAGGACAATCTCTGGGACATAGATAAGCAGATCTCAGTGGGTAAAATGGAGGTAGTACCACTCTTTTTGGGACATCTACCGATCTCTTCCTGTGTGCGTCTAGGTATATTAGAGCATTAAAAAGCGTTTCACACAGACAAAAAATCAGCGTTGGGAGAACCTGGGGGCTTCTAGCAGCCGCCTACGACACACAGGCTTCCTCCTTTCCCAAGCCCATTCCCACCCACGCAGGCAGCCCGGGGGCTCCTGCCAGAGCCAGGCAGGCTGACGGGCAGACACCGCCCCACCGCTGCCCTGTAGGCAGCACGGCTCTCACCGGGACAGCTCAGGCAGCCCTGCCCAACAGAGGACTTAGGGGTGCCCTGCCTGGGGCCACCTACTCTGCCTACCCAAAGGGTGACGCTCATCTCCTGCCTGCTCCTGCCCACCCTAGGGAGGTGACCCGCAGGCCCCCAGCCCAGGGAAGGGGTGGGGTACCCAGGAGCCTGCCCCAAGGGGGTACCTACCAGGAAGCATCCACCACAGGGATGCTGCTTTGGGGTGTCCAGGCTCAGGGCCCTCAAACCTGCCTGCCCAGGGGTGGAAATCCAGGGCACGTTGGTCTGTGGGCCCCTAGCCCTGCCTGTTCCCTAGCCTCGCCTCCCCGGGGCGAAGGAACCCATATTCCCAAAGGGGTTGGGGGTGGATGGTTTGGAGACACTAGTTTGCCCT